AGGTGTTTTAAATGACCGGTAGAGACGTAGATCAGGCCTCAGATTCCCGAGCGCAAACGCCAATATTGACGAGCCGCAACCAGATTAACAAGCACAACGAAAAGTTACCGAGCACAAACTTAGCGTTTCCAAGCACTAGCCGTAGATGCATGTCTCTATAAGCGCAATCAGAACAGCGGACTAACAGCTCCGCGGATCAATTATGGCCGACCCACTTGAATGCTTGTTGCGTAATCCCCGCGGGGAATCTCTTTAGTGTCTAATCGGGAATGAAACGGCAAGCTTTTTAGCGGATCGCCATATTTGATCCCCGGATCTGTTAGTCCGCTGTTCTGAATGCGCTCTCATATCATTATCAGTTTTATTTGCGGTCAACGATAATATAGAGGGTTAGGTAATAGATTAAATAAAAGGAGAAAAACACTTGTGGACCCGGAGTTTTTGCTATGGCAACACGAGGATGAAAAGTTTGGGATTGGGAATAACTCTTCTATCATTTCATGGGAATACGGATGGTAACATCTTGTAGAGTTCACTAATATAATTCCCAGACGTGTTAATTAATTTGATTAGAGTCGCTTGCTTGTGCACTCGACTCGTTTTATGGCCTTACCTGTAATGGGTCGTGTGCAACTTGCGTAATTAAAATCAGTAAACACCGCCAAATAATGCAGCACCGAATCCACCATGTAGATAAGAAATATGTATAGAAGACGTTCAGAAATTAATATCGGTAGTTCAGACTGAGAGAGACTCGAAGGAGGCCGCTTGACAGAGCCATGCAAGACGGCTTAGAAGTTGGAGACTTCATGTAGATGATGTAGTTAGAGAGCGTCAACCAATAAACCATTAAACTGGTCATTATGTGTCCTTGGGTTTTCTTTGAGCGACTTGACGTAAAGCTGACACGAACCGGGGAATCCCTGGATTGCGTTATCTACTAAGTTAGTCTAAAACGTACTGTCCTATTTCGAGCCCACGCTTGAATTAAGCGTACAAATTATATAAGTTTAGGACATTCATCCCAAATGTATATGTAAAAGCCCATTACAATCTCTCGGGTCTGTCCCTTTCCCCTCAAATATTGTTTCTACTTTTGTTTTTTTTTTTGTTGTTGTTGTTGGGGGCGGGGGGGGGGGGGGAGGGACAACCCCCGAATCCTCCATATAATCTGTTTGTAAATAGCAAACACAGATAACGCACGTATTAGCACTACAACATTGGTCAAAAAGGTTGTCCCACCTTCAGTATCATGTGATTTTATTTATATATGATCACATCACATGAAAAGATTGTCCCATTCTTCCGAAAGAGCTTGGGGGAATTGGTCCAGATTATTAGGAGTTACGTTTTCCTTTGTATTGTACACTTCAATCCATGCCACAGATGTTTAGTAAGGTTAATAACAGGGCTCAAAGATGGTTGCTCCATCCTCTGAACATTGGGTTTCTGCAACAAATCACTCAGCAGTTGAGAGTTGTGGGCAAGTGCACTTCCACGATGACACCTGCAGTATCCCTGGAGTCACCTCTTGCAAATGGAGTGAGATATTTGTTGAGAATGTTTCAGTGAATTGCCCAAGTATCGTTCTTTTCCGGAAAGAACAATGCACTAAAACCATGGAATTCTCTCCTAACGTGGACTGACTTGACACCTGAGGCGACATTATCCTGCACAAAACTATCAAAAAGCATTTTGCAACTTGTCTACGGGCCCTAATTTGACCGTCGAAGGCATACAAGAAATACCCTGATTTGTCAGCAAAACCAACTTGTTCCTAGTGATGGTTGACAAAGTTCTGGCCGTTCTGGGGTCATTGAAGCTAATATTCTCAACTGATATCTCATTCCATCTGCAAGAGGGGACTTCGGGGATGATCCAGGCTTCATCATGACAGCACACTTGCACACAATTATTACGTGGGGAGTGATGTGTTGCAGAAACCCAATGTTCTGAGGCTGGTGAAACCATCTTTGAATCCTGATAATAAACCTATTGAGCATCCGTGGCATGAATTGAAGTGTGCAATCCAAAGGAGAACTAAACCCATAATTGTCCGGACCAATTCCGCCAAGCTTTTTAGGCAACATGTGGCAATATCCCACAAAACAGAATCGTTACCCTTGTTGCAGGCAGGCCGCGCCGCCTACAGGAGATAATTACAGTACGCAGTAAACACACACGCTAATAGACACGTGACCTTTAACGAGCACACCCTAATGCTAAATGTGTGTAAATTTGGTAACATTTGGTGGTGTCAATTCAATTAAATGGACATTTCTTTACCTTCGTGGAAATGACAGTGGAATATCGGATTTGAAGGGGTACTTGTAATAAATGTGAATATATGGTACTAAATATGGGTATATAACCGCTAGTTTGTATATTCTGTACCATTCATCATGTTAGTTATGGTATCTGGAATGAAAATCGCCATTTATAGCAATCAACTCCTGTGATGTGATCATTTATAAATAAAAGCACATGAAACTGGGTGTGAGACAACCTTTTTGACCAATGTTGTAGTTAATTTATAAAGAAGTAGAACGAAAAAAAAAAACACCTGCGAATACTTCCATTTTGAAGACCTTTTATCAGTTTAGGGAATATGACTAAATCGTCACATGTAGAGCAAAAGGTCTTCAAAGGCCAATCTCACCCCAGGTTTGGCCCAGATAATGACTTTATATACCGTAATGATATGTGCCGTTTTACAATTTTCTTAATTCTTGGAAAAAAAAACTAATCCTTTTTCAAGTCTATAAATCAAGCACATTTAGACTATTATTTCAAGACAGGTTTGCCGTGATATTTGAAAAAACAAACAAACAAAACAACCTTTAGCTAATAATAATAATAATGCCCTTTTTGTCTCTGTATTAGAATTTAAAGATACATACGTCTTTGAGGTGGGCTTGCTGTTATTTTTATTCGTGACAAAATTCAACGGCCCGTGAACAGTTAAAGCTTCTGTCGTGCTCTGACCTTGTAATGGAAAAGAATCAAGCTAAGCAGATACTTTGACAGAGATGGCATGATATAAAGTAATGGAGATGAGCCTTTTCTTGTACTTTCCTAATTAGTAAATAAAAACCCATATTCATTATACTCGTGTTTAAATCAAGTGAAAACAGGTCGCTGCACCCTGTATACAGTTTATTTATTTATTTATTTATTTATTTATTTATTTATTTATTTATTTCGGTTCACTTCTTTATGCATGACCGTGTGGCGTACCGAATCCAATACGTAGAATTAAACATGATAATAATAATAATAATAAGAAGAAGAAGAAGAAGAAGAAGAAGAAGAGAAAGACGAAAAAAAAGAAAATTATATATATATATATTTGCAAAATTCTTGATGTTAATATTTTCTGAGCACTTAGCTCAAAAACTAAGCAATCTAACACTCATTCAGCATTCTGAAGTCTTAAAATTCTCATAACTTTCTCTTCGACGGGCACCCGTCCTATGGCTTAAGTTGAGAGTTATTCAACGTTTGATTTTATACATATATATTATCAGGGGCGGATCCAAGATTAAATGAAGGGCGGAGGGGGGGGGATGCGGAGCCGACCCCCCCCCTCCACCCCTTGGTGTGGGGTTCGGGCCCCGAAAAGTTTTGGTATTTTAGAGGACGAATGGTGTCATTTGGTACTGTTAAGAAGAAAGATTCAGCTAGTCAAAATTGTAATTTCAAGAGGGCACCATTGGTGTGATTTTTTTCAGGAATCAAAGGGGGAATCAGGACCCCCCCCCCCCCCCACACATACACACACACCCCTCTAAATCCGCCACTGTATTATCATATATATGTTGTTGTATATATATATATATTGACCTACTATAAGGGCAATGTTATGGTACGGCTGGCGCAAAATCAGAAGTGCACACGTGACAATTTAATCATTAACAGTTGTTCCAATTATTGACCCCAGGCATACGTTCACCAATGCCTGGGGACCTCAAAGGGGACCCAAAGCGATGTTGGTTATGCATATATATTAGTACACTGGTAAAAGGGCTGCGTTATTTATTTGTTTATATCCCGCGATCAATTGTTTTGGTTTAATACGTGGCAGTGTAAGTGAAACGTAATCACTGAAATTGTCAAATTGCGGACAGGTTTATGTTAATATTTACAGCAGTACGCGGCAATCTGTACTTTTAGATAAATCTTGATTATTTATTTATTTGCTATGTCCATTTACGCAATACACTAACAAACGCTGTTTTTTCTCTATTATTGTCGCTGGATTAAGACTTAGACCTATTTAATTTACATTCAAGGTACTTTACGCACGTGAGGATTTTTACGATTAGTTTGCATTGCGACAGATAAAGAAGAAAATTAAATTAAATTAAATTTAAAAAAGCGTCAATTAAAGCATTTAAATCCAAACATTTGAGATCGATTGATCTCCCAGGGCGTTCTAGTTTTGGATTCTTATTCCTGTGCCTGGTACCAGAGCTTAGAATTTTCTTTTTATGCAGTCACGGTTATCATCAACAATACGCTAGATAAAAGGAAGGTTGCTTAAACGTCCTGAGCGGTTTTAAAAAAGAGCTATAGCAGGAAAATAGGTCTAAACTTTAACACTCAATTTTGGCCTATTTTAATTCAGGACAAATCTCTAATAGTTTACTTATTTGAAGTAATCAAACATTGATCTAAAATTTGGCATATGTTTCTCGTTTCAAAACAGGCAGGATAACCCATTAATTGGGTACTACTGATTTACTTTGCGTCAAAGATTATTTGGTCTTAAGACTAAATCCGTGCCAGTCCATAGCTTCTCTTATGAAACCGCCCCACAACATACATGGGCGTAGTTCTAGCGCGTGAGCAGCACGTGCGCCTCATGATAATGTAATATATAATGGATTGCTTAGTGGCTATTACGGGTATCCTTACGATGGCATCTGAAAACTGCAGCTGCCTTTAAGACACCAATTTGCTTGGCTACAACTTTTCTGTCGAAAAGGGTGACCAGGAATATGACGCCGCCAGCACGATGTATCGTACTATTCATTGCAGCAGCTAGCAGCCTCTTCTCTTGTTCATCGGGCGTTAATGTTACGTTCAGTCCAAAGAATATTCTCCTTATTGAGGAAAAAGATACAACGCTTCACTTCAACTACAGTTGTTCTGGCTGGATGAACATTGCCATACGCGCTTGGACCAAGGACAGTCGGGTTGCCAGTGCCCGGTACCTTGACGACAGTTTCCATGGTGACAACAGTTCTGTTTCTATGACGACAACCAACCAAAATGCTGTCGCTATTCCCCAGCTTATTTCAGAATGCTATGGCAAAATTCAAATCAGTGCTCGGCGGCTTGGACGGACCGAGATAATCTTAGAGTTCACGTATATTAAGGAAAATAACAACCAAAAAGCAGACTCACCGGTGCTTCAAACTGAGACCGTCGTCTACCCTGACCTGGTGGTAATACGTGCACCACGGCTTGTAGATCAGGTTTTTAGGTATGTCACGACAACATTGGTTGCAATTATTACGTTCTTAATGGGCTGCACGCTGAACATAGAGACTGTGAAAGGCATTCTGAAGAAACCAGTGGCTCCTTTGCTAGGGTTTTGCTCTCAGTACGTGATGATGCCTCTGGTAAGTGGTTCTTAGAAACATACATACCTAAAATATGACCGCATTCTGAACAGCAGTCTTTGGCTGTATTCCCAGAGCTTTTAGATCGATCTATCCTCGCGGGGAGTCTCACTAGATTACTGTCAGATAATCCGGCTTAAATGTCCGTCCCGCCTACTACAAGCTGTAAGGGGTAATTAACTTTCGTGTCCGCCCGGCTGACAGCTATTTAGCGTAAAGTAGATCGATCTAATCTCTGGAAATGGGGTCTTACAGATCCGCCGACCTAATATGGCGACCTACAAAAAACTTAATTCCCGATTAGACACTGAATAAATTCCCCGCGGAAATTGCGCAACAAGCATACACAGGCCCGTAGCCAGGGGGGGTTCGGGGGGTTCGAAAGAACCACCCTTTTTGCTGGGAAAAAAGGTCAACTCTGGATAAAATTTTATCTAGGTACATGAAGGTTTTATGGTAAAAGGTCCACTTTTTCAGAAAACGAACCCCCATTTTAAATTGCTGGCTACGGGCCTGATACAAGTGGGTCGGCCATATTTGATCCTCGGATCTGTTAGTCTGCTGTTCTTGATTCACTGTTTGTAATCGTTGCTTTGTTGGGTCTTAGAGGTGTTTTTCCAGTGAAACGCCAGGACTTTCTTTGGGTTTTTGTGTCAAATAAAACGCGGGCACCCTTTCGTAATATATATATTCTTTGTTCTGGCAAGTAACGCATGAGAAACAATGAACTTTCTCACACATAACGGATACAGGTAGTGCATATCTCTTGCCTAAACATGTCCAAAAGATGCGAATCTTAAGAGAATCTTAAGAGTTTAAATGTTAAGAAGACACTATGTTTTGCAGATTAATTTGTCTTTGCTTAATAATAATAATAATAATAATAATAATAATAATAATAATAACAACAACATTTGTTTATATTTCGCAGCTGGCTTTTGCAGTCTCTCAGATCACTCAAGTGGAACCCGCGTTTGGACTAGGCCTTCTGACCATAGGCTGTAGTCCCGGGGGTGGGGGCAGTAACGTCTGGGCCGTCATGTTAGGCGGGGAACTGGAGCTCAGCATCACTATGACGTTTCTGAGCACTTGTCTGGCTCTAGGTGAGGAGAGAGAGAGAGAGAGAGAGAGAGAGAGAGAGAGAGAGAGAGAGAGAGAATTAGAGAGAGAGAGAATATGTGTGTGTGTGTGTGTGTGTGTGTGAGAGAGAGAGAGAAAGAGAGAGAGAGAATATCTACTTTATGAAAACTAATTTACCTTAAATTGCCTATCACTTCTACATATGTATAACGTCCTTATACAGAGAACATCATTTTGTTCTAGGTATGATGCCACTGTGGCTATTCCTCCTGGGACGTTTCTTCATCGATGAAAGTAAGATTAAGATCCCTTATGACAACGTGGCTACCACTATAGCTATCATAGTGGGACCCGTCACCTTGGGGTTGCTTCTACATCTAAAGAAACCCAAGTTGGCCATGAAATTAAAACGTCTTATACGGCCACTAGCGTTAATTTTCCTTATATACATTAACTCTTTCGGGCTGTACGTCAACTGGTTTGTATGGGGTTTGCTGGCAGACCAACCTTATCTACTGGCAGTCGGTATCATCACACCTTGGTGCGGATACATATTTGGGTTCATCCTTGCAAAAATATTCAGACAGCCTAAAAGACGCGCCATAACAATCGCCTTGGAAACCGGGATCCAAAACATCGGCATACCAATGCTCATTCTGCGGTTCTCGCTTCCTCAGCCTGATGGAGACTTGGGGTCCCTGATGCCTTATCTTCAGAATTTGTCTCAGTCGCTGCCGCTGTATATTATTCTGATCGCGTTAACCATTAAACGTAGGTGCTGTGATAAAGGGGACGACGAGGAGAGTGAGTGCGAGTTAAAAGATATTAGCGAAGTTGACAACAGTGTGTGCAACTCAGCGTTTGAAAAGCACGAGAATGGAGTTGTTGTAGACGCCGAAATGTTTGAGAAGGAAAAAGACGAAAAATAGGTGTGTTTAAAACGACCGGTAGAGATGTAGATGCATGTCTCTATAAGCACATTCAGAACAGTGGACTAACACCTCCTCGGATTAAATATGGCCGACCCACTCAAATGCAGTTATTAAAATTAACTAGACACTCCTTTTAATTATTATTATTATTATTTTATTATTATTATTATCATTATTATTATTATTATTATTTTGATAACGGTGTCTGGAGTTTACATGAACTAATTCACTGGACTCTTATTTAACTGGACTCTTATGCTTACATGTTACCCAAGAAGTAACTATAGTCGGATCATCTAGCTTGATTCCGTGCAGTTGGACGAAAACGCTTATCAGTATTCCGAATACCAAATGAAGATAACCCGCACGATTACTCGTGTCACCTACGAAGGACAATTTGGGTCGATTAAGGATGCCAATTGGAATATTTTAACTGATCCGATTATTCATTTTTGTGTATGAAGGTTAAAAGATTGCTTCCCTTTGCGACTAAACAAACTGTCTCCCGCCTTGTTCTTCAAGAGCTTAACACGGGCATGCGTATACAGACAGTTACGTTTATATTGTCGTTAAGTAGAGAACAAAAGCGCGTCATCTGTTATTATTGTTTTCTATATTAAAGTGTTCCATTGCCTGTTAAATGCATACAAATACGTACTTTAACCAATACAACCCGTCTCATTCTATTTAAAAAGGCTCTGATAATTGAAGTAGCATGTAGTAGTTAAAAAAGAAAAATAATAAGAATAAAAAAGTTAGTGATACTGAAAGCAACTTGATCGATCCCCGTTTTTTTTTCTTTTTTAAAAACAAATATATATAAAGGTAACAGTTAAAACTAAACAAAACATACTTTGCCTGCTACGACTTTTGATAATTTCCATCAGACATTTCGTAGTCGACGTAATCAAAAAATAAAAATAAAAATAGACAATAGACAATAGAAATGAACAAAGCAGCACGTCTTTGAGTTTGCATAAGGTCTTTCAAGGTTATGACGGTAGAAAGGCACGTAAAGAGAGACCAATATCCTCTCCTCTCGTTCAATATCCCATGGCACAACCTGATACAAGTGGTATACATTTGTCCCTCTTTTCTGTCAGCTAAAAATCCTGAATTCTGACCTCCCAAACAGTGACCTTGACCGAATAAAATCTCGACCAGTTAAATTGAGCTTTGTTCCACTGTCAAGTTTCATAAGTGGAATCTGTCCGAAATATAAGTCCCTATAACTGCCAAATCGTATTTTCTGTTGACTTTACATTTACTTCGTACCTTTGTTTGGGTAAAAAGATCTATTTTTTTTTGCGAAAATATGCATGACCAAAGTGACACCTTGACTTTATATATATGTCCTGGCGCCCCACTGAAACACATAGGAAACACTTCTAGCCTCATGCATGTAATGGAGTGAATGGTTGTGACCTGTCGGCAAAAAAAAGCTTTATCTCACTTTGTTTGCGAAAGCCAGGTTTGTCTGCATAAATTTTGCTAACATTTGCTCGACTGTTGTTACTGTCACTGTCGTCGTAGAACAAACTCAATCTTTCACTGTCAAAATCAGTTTGTTTTAGTTTCGATTTGTTAGGTTCAAGATCGGTCGCAATTATATCTCGCCCTGTCTTCTCTAACGCAACCAACGTCAGCTTGCTAGAATCGCATACTTCAACAGGAGCATTGATTGCTAACGAAATACGTTTGATTTTGTGCCACTTATTTATAGACATTTTTTTATCATTTGCCATTGAAATTTAAATCACAGTTCTGTTTTAGTAGACGAAAAAACGCAGGAAAAATTCTTAGCCAATTTCTTCATCCTTTCAGCTTTTACCCTTTGAATACGTAGGTAATAAATAGCTTACTTTTACAGTTTTTTATCCAAATGGCCAATTTTTTTATGCACGGTTACAACCACCGGTCACTTCCTAAACGAGGTCGCAACCCTCAGTGGCAATAACATTCTTCAAACACCCTCATAATTTGAACAATGTAAAATAATATAAACGTATGGGGTAAGTAGACCCCACAAAAAATCGAACAATTGACCATCGAAATATGAATAAATTTATTCATTCATTTCCATGCCATCAGTTTGCAGTGACATTTTATTCTAGTATTAAACTTTCATTCAAACATTATAAATGTTTGAAGTACACATGGCAAATGGAGCGCAATTTACACATACCCCTGTATACATTTAAAAGATTTTTTAATTGTACAATTAATGACTGAATGAAGATTACAAAACAGCATATTGACGAAAAGCAAAATGTACTTGTTATATCATTTAATTCAAAACCAGGATGTCTGTGTCTTACGTGTACAAGATAATATCAAACTTAATCCGCCACATAGTTTGTCGTGTGATTGATGCTTCCTTCACTCTAATTGTTCAATCGTTTTATTTTGAAGTTTATCTTTATCTTTTGCTGTTACGCGAGGTAGTAAATAAAACTCTGTTATTATCTTTCATATTAGTTATAAACTACTTTCTAGTTAGTCCCCGCGTAGATTTCTTCCCGTTTCTATCTCTACCTCATGCAATCTCTTACGGCCATCTCTCGTTTACATTACACGCAGTTGTATAACTATCATAAGAGCATGTCAATCAACTCACTTGCTATATAAAACACTCCCCGCCCCTTTTTTTTCCTGACTGTCAATTACTTATATTACATTATTGATATTATGTGTCCCTCACTTCAATTGGTCAGTCGTCTTATTGATAATATGTGTCCCTCACTTCAATTGGTCAGTCGTCTTATTGATAATGTATCCCTCACTTCAATTGGTCAGTCGTCTTATTGATAATATGTCCCTCACTTCAATTGGTCAAACCCACGGACTACGACAGGGTCAAAATGGTGGTTACGTCAAAGGTCAATATAGAATTTTATCATACTAGACTGAATTCTCGGATATAAGATTGTATTCTATGCTAATTATACAACAGGATGAAATAATATTTAATTTATATTTGATTATAAAAATGTTGATAATTCAATTTCAAAAACTGCGCACAGACTTCGAGTCCCAAACGTCTCGACTTTTTCATGAATTTAGACAGCTCTGTACTACTTAATGTATAAAAATCATCTAAAGTCTTACTTGGCTCTTTCTGAAATACAATATGTATTGAAATGTACAAAAATATAACGTTTTATAAAAATAGTTCATCTTGAAGAATGTCTTCAAATTTCTTCAAATGGCCGACAACTTGTCGGAGACGACCTCCTTGTCTTGTCCACTTCCTTTGACGTTGCTATTACCATTCAAAACCACACCATCTGATTTCAAATTCTCCATTTCTTCTTCTTGTTTCGCTTGTTGGTATTTCTCATCCTTACAACACCGTTTCTTTATTGCCATCACGGCGATGCCTATCCACAGGGGGAGAGGGGTAAATGTGGCGGCTGCCGCCACGGCGACAATTCCCAGGTCTCCAAGCGGTGGCGGGAGAGTGAACTTCAACACCAGCATTGGCACGCCAATGTTCTGAATCCCGGTCTCTATTGCTATGGTGATGATGCGATAACGAGGCTGGCGAAGAATGGCGGCCACCGCTGCGCCAAGAGTGAAACCCACCCACGGCAGCATGGCGCCCGCCGCGAGTGTTTTGGGAGTGAACATCTGGAAGATGTACAAATTGGCGTAGATTCCAAAGCTAAAGATACAGAGGATTATGATAACCATGATGGGTTTGATTAATTTGCCGATTTTCTTGGCAAGTTCTGGTTTCTTGTAGCGTATTGCAACGCCAATAGAGACCGGCACCATGATGCTTACGAGTGAGATGAGAATGTTTTGATAAGGAATGACTATTTTGTAATCCGGTCCTTGTAAGTAGAGCTGACCAAGGGTGAACAACCACAGTGGGATCATACCTAGTGAAAAAAAAATAAAATAATATCTATACCTTCCATGGTGACCATAACATTTCAACACCTTGTTTGGTACGTGTACAGCAACATAGGGCGCATTCGGAACAAGTTAATCCACGGACTAACAGATCCGCTGACTAAATATGGCCGATCCACAAAAAAGCGATGCCGCCAATCCCCTGATGGTCTCCCCCCCCATCCAAACGCCCCTTCGCTGCAGGGGCCTAGTAGTTAAACTTCAGAGCCGAGATTTAATCCGTTAAATAGCGCATGTGGAGGCGGGGAGACCATTTGGAGATTAGGCGACTTGCCTTTACGTTGGGTTGGGCATATTTAGTCGGCGGCTCAGTTAGTCCGCGTTAGACCGTCTGCTCTGAATGTGCTCATAATAGTGACATTGAATATATTACAAAGGAATATATGCACGAGAGAGAGAGAGAGAGAGAGAGAGAGAGAGAGAGAGAGAGATATCT